AGATGATTGATGATTTGCGCATAAAGAAAAAATACAGGAAACTGAATGCCGAAACACAAGACCAGAAAGCATGGAAGCAGAAGTTTGGAAAGAAAAATGAATATAAAAGTGATTAATGGTAATAAAATGGTAACGGAAATAATAAAAAAGGGAAAGATAAGGAATCATTATTTTGTGGTGTTCTGACACTATGGACCTGCTTTCGAGCAGACTACCATTTATAATTATATATTTGAACAGATTGATGGCATTGCTGCGAAACATATTCCTACGGCCACATCTAACGTAAGACGTAAAGAAACGTCCTACAAAACAGTAATAAATAAAATCCACAAATGCCAAGATTTAGGTGAAAATAATGTTTGTTGGAACTTATAATAAGTGGTGTCTTGAGAGATCAAAAAATTGCCCAGGAGATCATTTTACATTCTGTTTTCGTATTAGCTTTTTCACATTTTTTATCGCTTTGTGCATAAATTGGATGGTACCTTTACTATCTGACAAACAGCTACTGACATTTCTAGAAAAACAAATGTTTTTTATTTTATCATAATATTTGTGCAGCATAATTATTCTTAACAATCTATCATTTCAGATAAATTTTATTTGAAAATATTAACAGTGCCCAGATAGTAGGAAAACATATTCTCTTGTTTGCTCTCTGATCTTTTAAAAACAATTTTTATTTAACAGCTTCAACAGAAAAAAACAAAATCTGTAAATATACCTACGTGTAATACAATCACGTAGCCTGAAAACAAAATTTTCACAGTGTGCATTTGAACTAAATTAATTTTGGATGGCAAAACATTTTGATAAATTTTTTAATTCATTTTTTAAGTTTTTGATTTAGAACATGTCTTCAAAATATTCTTTATCAGATGATGAGGCAAACAGCGGCAAAAAACTACTTGCGGAGAAGTCGAACATGACTGGTTGTCCGGTGGAGACGACAAACTTGAGAGAGTGCAATTTGAACAATCGGGGAAAGAAGCGCACAAAATCTTCCGTAAGCAAAGCTTCGCATTCATTAATATATTTATATTGTTAAATTTAATTCAAAATTGTTTTGTTCAATATTTGCGGTATATTGCATTGTGCTAGAAATGTTTCAATTATTCAATCTGCCATCACAAATTTTATTAACAAAATAATTAACTTATACAGATCAAGACCGTTGTGGAACTAAAAATTTGATTTTGGTAATGATGAATATAAAATTAATTTTTTTTATCTTATTGAATATTTTTTGACCTAAAAAACTGACTTTAAATTTATTATACCTACTTTCTACAATATTTAATGATTTTTTAATATTGATAAATTTGAAAATTATCAAAACATTAAGAAGTGGAAATTTTAAACTCAAATTAATCAATAAAATTTCAATTTTTTAAATAATATTAATAAATTTTCAATGATATTAAAACAATATGATCAATTTAAGGTTGTTTTTAATTCAACAGTACATATATTTAAAATCATCCTAATTAAGGAAATGTGAAATTTTTAGCAAATTAGTAATCATAAAAAACCTGTATTTTTATTCCGGGAGTATACTTGAATGAATTTCAAGTTAAGTTTAAATGCAATTAAATTTACAGAATAGTAACTAAAATAGTTAAATATTATGCTTTTGTATATCGGGCTTCATTATGCTCATATGTGTCCTCGAAAATATTATTAATCGTGTTAAACTGATTTAAGTTTTGTAGATTGATTTAAAATAATCTATAAAATTTAAATTATGCAAAACAATCAAAATGATTTTAATACACATAACAATTTTTTTAACCCATATTATTGATTTTAATTAGTACGGACATGTGAAAATCTTCAAATAGGTTAGGAAATCGCAAATCATTTATTCTTCTGACCAGTTTAGTTAGATTATTGTGAAAAAGAATGTTTACGCTTCTAAAAATTATTGTTTTTTTTTTAAGAAATTTACTTTTTTATATTTTCAAAGTTTAACTATTTTTAATTTAATTTTTTTTATATTTTCAAATCATTTATTAATATCTCATAAAAATATATAGTAAAAATATTGTTCGCCCTTTGACGGCCTTTCAAAAATCACATAATATAAAAATATCATTAATTAATCTATTTTATTTCAACATTAATTTTTTTGTTTGTTTTATTTATCATAGTGATCTATACAATATGTATATTAAGCTACGATTGTAGACAATTTTAAAAGATGTCGTGTGATGGATAACTATCCTATGATAGATCCTTCTATTATTATTGCATAAAATTTTTGAGTTATATCAATGGCTTGAGCAGGTCAATTCCCAGTTGATTTTGGATGTTGACTTAACATTCAAATAAATTGCTTGCACTCGTATAAAAAATTTGTTACAGGTAAAACTAAACTAAATAAAATGTATTAAATGATTATAGGTAAGTCAGTCCATAAATGGCAGTCCAATCCGCTACCCTTGTTCTATCGCGGACCAGTGCCAATACGAAGCAAAAAGAAGCAAAATTGAAAAGAGTCCTGTGGAACTCCGGCGTAACCTTCCCAAGGACTACAAAAAATTACCTGACGAGCATAAACGCATTGCAAGGGGTGTATGTTGACATTTTATTTATTATAACTTCATGACAATAGTCACAAAATCTTCAGACGTCTTTGCTCAATTATTTTTCTAATAGCGATGACTTGATATGTTTTGGGAAAAAAAATTAACATGCTTTACAGTATAGAGTCTACACCGACTATAGTTTAAAAAGTACATTTGCTATATTCGACTATTCAGCATAAAGATTATAGACATAATTAACTTCCCGAAGGAGAAGTTTGTTTTCATCAAAAAATTCGATTCGCTAATTTTAAGTTTTCTCGACGTATCAAGCCATTCTGAATCGAATGAGACCAAATTTGGAGAAGGTATGTGTGTGTGTGAATAGATTTTTGCCGTAGATCGACGTTTTCTCAAAAACGGCTGGACCGATTTCAAATTTAAAAGCCATTCGATGTATCTCGATGAGGTCTACCGTTTGTCAGTTTTGCGCGACAGTCGACCACGCCGTTTCTCTAAATAGCAGAAAAGTAAAAAATGTTTCGTCCACATTTTATTCCGCAATGAAATCGATTTTGAAAATTCAAAAACCGTTCGATAGAATTGGTTGGGAATCAAGCTGATTAGTTTTTGGTAATGATCGCCCGGGCCGTTTTCTTGTAATAAAGTGTTAACTTTTTTTTTTCGACGATTTTGATATTTTTTTTTGGCGGTACATACCCTAGTCCTATACATTATACTAAAATATTACGGCACTACGACAACTCGTTTAACTTTAAAAATTCGTCAAAGTTTGCAAAGATTAGTATCGTTTTCTTGGCATTTGTCAAAATTAGGCTTTTGATCGACGTTTTCTCAAAAACGCCTGAACCGATTTCAGAAATTTAAAAGCTATTTGATGTATCTCGATGAGGATTATCATTTCTCAGTTTTGTGCGACGATTGGCCAAGCCGTTTTTTTAGTAATTTGGAAAAAAGTATAAAACATTTTGTCCACATTTAAGCTCATACTACCGAATCGATTTTAAAAAATCAAAAACTGTTCGAAAGACATTAGTTGGGAATGATACTGATTAGTTTTGGGCGAAAATCTACCGAGCCGTTTTCTTGTAATTAACTGTTAAAAACAAAATTTAGTCCGATTTTTATGGAACTTTTTTGGGCGATATATATCATATTCTTATAAAACTGAAATATTACGGCCTTACGACATGTAGTTTAATTTTTGAAAAACTCATCTAAGTTTGAGAAAATGATTAGTTTTTTGACGTTTGTTAAAATTAAAATTAGACGATTTACTTGATATGACAATAGAGTACCTAATGAACATGCTAAACCATTAGAGTCCTACAGAAACTGGTTCAATTATAAAAATTGTTGATTTGTGAAAATTTGCTTTTAGAAAATACTCCGATTAACGTTTCCGTTCGTTTTGTTCGTTTTTGTAATAAATCCATTTGGAATACTTTTAATCATTCATAAATTAATTTATTTTTTATTGATTAAGTCGATTATTCTTGTCATGTAACTGTTTCAATGTCAAATTGTTTCAAGGCCAAATTCCAATACCAACTAGTTTTTTTTATTTTAGATTTTTCCTATTATATATTATATTTTTTTAATTTGATTTGAAGTTCTATATACTTTAGTATGCAGAGTGATCAACATTTTGGTTACAAAATATTGCAGATTATTGTTATTGATGACTCTTGCTCCTGAAAGATTCAAAAAATAACTCTCAATTTTCAATTCCTAATTTTTTCGCAGAATATTATCCTATTTGCAGGATCCATATGTGTGTATATGTATGTATGACTGTGTGTATGAATATGCGGATACTATTTTTTGTCGACGATTTCGAAATCACGGATCAACCAATTTGATTACCGTACCAAGTATTACCCGTTAGACAGCGACGCGGCGCTTACTCGGTTTGAAATTTCACCTCTAAAACAACCACGCAGCGCAATCAAAATCAAGATTCAATAAAAAATTTAAAGCGTTCAAAAACTTTAAATTATGGTGCGGAAAGCTCCAGCAATTTAACTTAAGGCACAATACCATGCACTACTAGTTTTGTTTCGTTTAGTTTTCTACTGGAAAACAAGATCGCCGACGATATAGTTATAAATGGTACAAAATATTCATTAAATTTTCCAGTTGCACTTTATAGAATAAATTTGCACGTTTTCTAATTTATATTTGCAAAGCTGCTTAAGCGGAATAATCAAGTAAAATTATTTACTAATATTATCTATGTTTTGTGTTGAGAGTTGTAACCAATGTTCAGGAACAAAATTCACTACAATCAGGTTTAAATATTTTTAATGCCATTACGCGAATGAAAGTTTATAACAGTTCATTGAATAGGATCATGGTGTATCTATATCGTAGAGATTTTATTTTGGTATATGTTTACGTATATATTTATATTTTTTCTAATTTACATAATTTTATGCTTCAACGTAGAAACGGCCTGGCAGGTTATCTTCCAGCTCCGATTCTTCCGACAGTCAAGTTGAAGAGGATGAATCAGAGGAAGAAAGCAGTACGTATTTCTACAAATACAAACATTTCATATATATGCACAGTGCTGGATTTACAGTAGGGGCAATCGGGGCTACTGCCCAGGGCGGCAAATTTTTGGGGGCGGCAAAACTTGGATAGTGAGAAAAAAATTATATACAATATTATCAAATTTTTTTACCAACATTTTTATATTTCAAGAAATATAATTAACAAAACATAATACGATTGCAATGCAAAATTTGGTTTGAAATAACCAATTATTAAAATTTATTATTTTGCCTTGCCTCTCTCTCCGAACGTAAATTATCAAATTGGTTAATAAGTTATTAAATTTGGCAATTTGACTAATATAAAGATCCGTAAACAAGCTGAAAGTTTAAGAAAAATATTTACTTCAGTTCTCGAGCCCTCTTAAAATGACGAATTTGTGCACTTTCAAGCTTATAGCGTCGAAAAAAAATTTAAACTAGTGACTCATGGCATTGTGCCTTAAGACAAATTATTGAAACATCCCGTACTAAAAATTACATTTTATAAAAAGCTTTTCAACTTTTTGCAAAGCAATCGCGCTGCGTAGCTGTTTCAGAGAAGAAATATCGAAACTCAATTACCATTTTTCGTAATTGCCTTTGCCAAAAACTAATCAGCACGTCTCCCCATCAATACAAATCTATTATTTTTTAAATATTTAAGTCGATTTCGGGAACACGGATCAACCGATTTAAATGATTCAATTCCTATTTATAAGGAGACGTGCTGATTAGTTATTGGCCAAGGCAGGTCCAACTGTTTTGAAGATACGGGCCAAAATGCCAAAAATGATAATTCAGTTTTTGAGAAAAGAAGAGTTCAATATCATTCAAAAAAATTTACAGAATAAATAACTGCTTAAGGGGGGCGATACATGTAACAAGAAAAAAAAATCGATTTTTTTTTCATAAATCGTTACAATAACATCTCAAAAATATGCCTGTAAATATTCAAAACAAAATTATCATTATTTATACAATAAAAACTCATTTAAGTGCCACGCCTCAACTCGACGCTTGAGTGCTATTATACTCTTATCTGTTTCTGTGTCAAAACTTTAAACGCGTTTTTCTCAAAACGACATTTTTGAAATTTGCGGGCGGGATAACTCAAAAAGTTCTCAACCGATTCTAATGAAATTTTGCACACATCTACTTTACAGTAATAGCTTCTAGTTGAACTTCAAATATTCCAAAAAAAATTTCAAAAATTAACCCTTTTACCAAAAAAAACCATTGAAAAAAAGGTGAAAAATCGAACTTTTTTTTCTGAGGTGTGTCAATTTACGATTTTGTGACTTTTTTAATTTTTTTTTGATTTAACTAGAAGATATATGTTTTATGAACACGTGCAAACTAATTTTTTTGATTTCAAATCACCGTACGAAAAATGAGAACGCCTGCAAATTGATGGCGTTTTTCGAGAGGGTCTTGGCAGATTTATTTTTACGGCAGCCATTTAAAAAAAAAAATTAAAAAAAATTTTTTTTGTGTATTTTAATATATAATAAATAACCCTAAAAAAGTTCAAAAAGATTCAGTCATTCCTTCCCAGTTTAAAAAGTCCTCAAAAAATGGTAAAAATTAAAGCGATTACATGTATCGCCCCCCTTAAATTTGTGGGAGGCAGGTTTAGCGGTTTCGATAATCCAATAAAAGAAATTGTAAAAGAAACATTTGGCGGACAAAAGTGATCACAAAACATATGCACATCAAATTATCAGATATTTTAAAAATATGTTAATAAGTATAAATTTTGTTTACATTTATATGCGTTCTGTAACATTGTTTATCCGTTAGACTGCGACGCGGCATTTACGCGCTTCTATATTTTGTCCCTACGCAGCTGAAGCAGCGCGATTGCTTTAAAAAAAAGTTCGAAAGTTCGTAAAATTTCAGGGATGGGGCGGCATTTTTGTCAGTGCCCCGGGGCGCCAAATTTCTAAATCCGGCCCTGTATATGCAAATGTGAAGAATGTCATATTACAAATTGATAATATTTTATTAATATTGTTTTAAATCATCAATAAATTTTATATCCACAAATAAGAATTCTAACGAACGAGCGCGGACGAAGATGACGAATAATATTCACAGTCGTTCGTGCTCGTTTGTTAGGTGAGGATGCACCTTTACGCGTACATTTTTTTTTCTTGATACTTTTTATATAAAGCATCGAAACATATTTGATTTAATGTAGTAGTGTGCTGTTGATTCTCTAGATGATGTTATAAAACCAACAACCTATTTAAGCTTGACAGTATTTTGAATAGTACACAAACACGGAACATTTTTTTTTATTTCCATATAAATTACAATCTGTCTCCAAGAGACATTCAGTAATTTGATTGTTGGTGGTAAAAATGGATGCTTAAAAGGATACCCAGTAGTAAACCTTATACATATAAAATATTATTCACAAGTACATATAAAATACTTATAAAATTTACATATAAAATATTATTTGCAAGTAATAATTAAAGTTTTTCTTTAATAAAATATAATAAGTTTGAAAATACTACAAGAAACTGGACATATTGCTGGATTGCTTTATAATAGCATCAGGAAAACTTTTATTATTTACAAATTATATACTAATTCGACTAATAAAATTCATTTTAACCCTCTACAGGCCCGCGTAACTTTAAGGACACGTCAAATTATTCGATGATTTACTAAATATTTAGTTTTTTTTATGAGATGCCGCATAATTCTATAAGGTGGTCAAGACACTCTAGAGTCTAAACTTTTTAACCCGAAATAACATTTTCAGAAACAGAAGTGCAAAAATATTTAATATAAAATTCACAGAATTCACAAATACAAACAAAAATGGTTTAAACAAAATTTTTGTTTTTCATTTACATGTATAATTACTAATTTTTTACTTACCTTTTTTTCGCGTGAAACAAAATTTGGTCCATAGGTGATTAAATTAGGTGTAAGAAAAGTTGCTTGTACTTTCTCATACGTGTATATACTCGACTTAAAATAAGAAGTGATATTTAATTATTTATTTATATTTAATTTATTTTATTCAGATAGGATTTGAAACTGTATATGTCAAAAATGTAATTTTTTCTCATTAAAAACCAATCATTGCCATTTTCAATGTATTTGAATTAATGCACGAACACGGCCTTGTTTTGAATGTATTTTTATAATTCAACTGCTGTTTGTAGGCTTATAATAGCATGTATTGTAGTTTAGAGTTTTAGACTCTAAACTACATTTAGACATGTAGAGTCTGGAATTACTCTAAACTTTCACTCATCGCCATGTTAAGTTTCATTCAAAACTCGAAAATATTTTTTTATCATTTTAAGAATGGTGAAACAGCCGATCTTTAACAAAACCTAACTAGCTCAATTCCCAAATTATACCTTTAGATCGGTATGTGAAATTTTAAAATTGGTTCTGGAATTTCCTGTGATAAAGTGTAAAAATAATTTTGCATTGTTCTGCTTTTCCTAATGAATTTATCGAGTTTCAAACTCCAACGATTCAGAATAACTAACAAGTTCAAATTTCTGACAAAAATATAAACTTCTTCCTGGGAAAGTTACTAGTAGCTCATGTTTTTATTTTGGCTGGCTTTTTACTGTTTTCAGCAGAAAATAATTATCCTAATTGGCTCATCATTTTAGGCACAGACATTAGTACTTCTGAATCAGATGAGTCGTCGATCTCATCACAAAGCTCCTCTGAATCGGACGATTCTAATTCTGAATCTTCTGAAACTGATTCCTCGCCTTCTCCGCCAAGTAGCGCTTCCGAATGAAATCCAGTAGCAGCGCCGCTAGGTGAGAAAAATTAGGTACGTAAACATGTTGAATCTACCAATAATAAATAATTAAGAATAAGTTTTTTCAAATTATTATTTTTAGTATTTGAAATATATAATTTACTATTATATTATATTAACCGAAAATTATATTTGAATTTTGTATTGTTAACAGATAATTTTAATATCGTTTACAACTCACTAAAGACAACATTATAATGAATAATTCTGAATTACAGCAAAGAATGAAATTTATGCGGGACAAGTGAAATAAAAGCCACAATGTGAATTCGGTGATAAATTTTTGTTTTTGTAAACGAACATTTCACTTTAGTATGTTATATGTTTGTAACTTCGATATTTATCTTAATATTTTATTGAACTTTTTAAATTGTATATTTTTATTGTATATTTATAATTGTATATTTTATTTATATAAAACAATTCCAAATGTAAATAATGAATTCAAGAACCAAAAGCAAGACAATATTCAAAATACACCAATAGTCCAGTCATTTTGTCGTTTTGCCGGTACAGTACTCCGGGAATTCTGAAAATTGGTGATCTTATAGATTTTGAGGTGCTCTTGCGAAAATCAACTTTGCCACCTCAAATTTGAACGGCAAGTTGCCGCCATATTGAAAAAATGGCGTCAAAAAACAGCTTTTTTAAAATATCTGCTTTCTGGCTTATTCTACGATAAAAGTATATATGTACGAATTAAACTAGAGAAAATTTCTTAAAATACCTTAGAAAACCGTTTTTCTGTTAAATTGATAGTTTGAGAGTACGGCCGCCTCAAAGTCTTTGCTGCTCTCGCCGTAGTATCAAATCTCTCCATATATGACAGCACTTTGAACTTGACCACATTCCTTCTAATAAATAAATATTTTCAATATTAAATTAAGCGAATAAGATCTCGAAATAAAATAATTCAAATATTTTTCTGTTTTTTTGCTGATTATTTACCACTTCAAGCTAGTTACTTATAGGTACATTTTGGCATATCTTACAAAAAATGGATGTATGTGTATACGATTCTAGAAGTGCAAATTGTAATTCAGTTTTTGAGAGAACAGAGCATCTGATTTGAATAATTCAACAAACATTTTATTTGTATTGATGGAGTGAAGAACTCAACAAATTCAGAAAAATGATAAATTATCATATCTTTTATAAAGATTTTAATAATAAATACTTCTTCAAAAAAAATTTTTTTACAGTATGGTTCAAATGGCTTGCCCATGCAACATTTTTAAGAAAGTAGAATTTTGACAAAAATTTCAAAATTTTTAAAACATTCAAAATTTTCACAAAAATAAAAACCTAAAAAGTCGAAAGTTTTTTGGAATTTTCAAAAATACATTTTTTTATAGTTTTCAAAAATTTTAAAACATTTAAAAATTAGTAAACATTTTTTCGTACACGTTTTAGCTAAAAATTCTAAACCTGCTTTGATAATTCAAAAACTTCAAAAGATATTAAATGTGTTTCGTGCTGATTAGGTTTTTGGTAAAAATCGGTCTAGCCATTTCTTTTTGATTAATTGTTGAGATTTTTTTAACAATTTTGATAAAGATTTGTATAATTTAGAAGGTATTAGGCCTACAAAAATTGGCTAAATTATGCAAATTTATAAAAGATTGGAAAAATGAATGTGAAAATTTCAAAGTTCTAGCGTAATTTTCAAAGTATATGCGATATATATATATATATATATATATATATATATATACATATATATATATAATATATATATATATATATCGATATTTGTTAAAAAGTTCTTATGAAATAAATTTTATTAATTTGTTTAATAATCAATCATAAAAAAATTGGAATTTATTCAATTTTATATTGTTTGTGAAGCACATAAACGTATTCACATATATTCTACGTGAAATTCAATAATACAAGCTTAACTGACTTATTATATTATTTTTAAGTGAAATAGTCAGTCGTTTAAAAATAAAATTGATTTATTTGCAAGTTTGTAAATATTATATATTGTATATTTTTTGATAAAATTATTATTTATCTAAATGAATATTGAATGACAATTTAACTCAGATAATATTTCAAGTATTCATGAATTCATATTCTGCTTCCTATTCTGCTTCTTAGATTATTTTAAAACGTTAATTCTATACTGTGATATCAAATAAGTTGAACAGATTAATTGAAAATAGTCGCAGTGCAGTCAATATTGATCTAATTCTAAACGTTGCTGGCATATGAATAAATATTCATTGTTCTGATCATCAGAAATGACATTGATTAATTGCTATCTAAATTATTTGTTTTAATAAATTTATTATAACTTGGCATGTAGAACTAGATGTCCCGTTCATTCCATTGTTGTGATCGTTGAGATTCGTTTGTAATGATATTAGAGTTGAAGTTGTTGTTATACAAATGCTAAAATTATTTATAGAATAGACACTCATAGGGCAATTGCGATATAAAGGAGCTAATAATATTTGACGGTATAATATTTTATTGAAGCACTCACGACACTATATTTTTTTCTATAAACTATATGTATGTTATTAAATCTAATAAATGAATTACTTTTATATTTTCGTGTGTTTTATGTAAATTTTTCATTTTTAATTTATTATTTTGTACATTATTTTGAAGTAAAAGTTCTTTAGGCGCGACTAGGATGTAAATCTCTACAAATGCAACGGAAGTGCGTTACGGCAGATAAGATAAGATAAGAATCGAGTGCCAATGATTCGTCATTCGCTCTCGATGATATCATTTCTATACGGGTCGATTGTAATTAGTCGTCGCGTCAACGTTGCATGCGTACCGATATCAACAAGGAAATCGGCATAGGTAAATAAACATTTTAAAGTTACATCGTAGTACAAATCTTGATTTAATGAAAAATGCCCGAGTTAGAAAAATATTTTACTCTGTCCCCCGTTAATAATTATAATGAAAATAATAAAACAAATGCAGCATTTGCGCCATGTATTAAACATAAGTTTATTGAAATAATTTCTACAATATTCGTAGTTTCTATAAATCTTTGAACTTTTTGAAATAGAAAATATTTTTTAGGCAAAACAGATATTACAGCTGTCAAAGAATGAGATTATATCGCCAGCGAAAAAGTAAAAAAAATACCATTAGTCAATGAATGTATGTTAATTTTAATTACATGAAGTTCTTCAAACACAATTATTACATGATGAGTGAAGTTGCAAAAACAATATTTGTTTAGGCGTTGTTTAATGTAATCCACTGTGTGAACGAATATTATAGAAGTTATTAATCGGCAATTACTTCATTTCTCTAGTGAAGGTTCATTTCTAAATGCTAATTACAATGAAAAACTGTTCATGTCATATTTGAAGTATCACTTTAATTACATTATTGTTTTTAAATGTTATACATATTTTTAATGCTATTATAAATATATAATTTATAATTTATCATTATATAAATTTATATAATGGTTGACACTAATGAATATGTGCATCACGAGTGTTACTATATTACTAATAAACATTACTCAAAATTGTTATATGATGCATTTATTTTTACTTAAATGTAAGATGACCATATTTTTTTAAGTCAAAACCGGGACGGTAATTTTTAGTGGCTTTAAAATAACAAATGCTACTTAAGGATATACTATAAATCAATTTTTAATGGGAATTGCAGATTTTTTGTAAGAACTTTACTATTCATTTATATGTAATACTGTTTTATCTATGTTCTGTCTGTTTTTCAAGTTTTTAAGCTTTGTATAAAATTCTATTCAATTTTCATCATAATTAAGTAGCACTTGTTGGTTTATTTGTATATTTTTGTTAATTTACCTATTAGTTTTCGAAAAACCGGGATAATCCGGGACCAAAGACCTAAATCCGGGACATATATTGCCTATAGTAAAAACCGGGACCCAAGGTGGAATTCCGGTACAGTCCCGGCCAAACCGAGACGTATGGTCACCTTATCAAATACCGTCTTATACAGTAGAAAATAAGTTTTACTTCAATCGCGTGTGAACCTTAGACGCACTCTTTTTTTTGGAACGTAACCCTTTCTTTGTATTAGTTTTTTGACCCGTATAACACGGATTCGCATAATACGCTAGTTTGGTTTTTATTGTATCGTTTTTTTAATTATACTTTTTGTTTGAGCAGCGATCAGAGTACGAGGGTTCTACAAACTATTGTTAGGAATTACTTACAACTATGTCGGTTTTTTATAGATGGAATTCCAAACAGTTGCTCATTTCTGTAATACTTACTGATGAGTTTTTCCAGATGCAGCACTGCCAGGTAAGAGTCATTTTTAATTGGAAACATATTGCTATCTATAACTCCAAGTAAAAACCGATGTCACCAGTGCTTGTCATCTGGCTGATCATCAACACAAAATTCTCATTGCGTAAATAGAGGAATAACAAAACCCGCAAAAACCCTAGTGCTGATAGTAAAACATCCGAGTAAAGCTAAGAAGCCATTAAAATCGGATTCATTCATACGACCATTATACTATACTTCTCACTATAAAGTGTTCACAACATTTATCTTATGTATAAAGCCATTATAGGTAATTTTAGTCCGGTTCGAGAGCCGAATAGGAATGGTTAATTTTTTCTGGCCAAGTCTAATAACGACAATGAAATTATGTGTTTGTAGAATCTGCATCGCTTATATGATGTTTAAAATAATTGCTCGGAGTAAACGCGCACAACTGGAAGAGATGTCAATTAGTAACTTTAAATGTTTGACGTTTCGTTCGAAACACATTGGCGAATGCATATCTTTGCCGGGAGACATTCGATAATATTAGTACGATGATATAAAATTTCATTTGGCGAATAAGAAAGATAAGAAAACGTCGGCAAAAGACATAGATATTTCAATAGTCAAACTGGTTTTCCATGCCTTAATGAATTCATTAACATTTTTACGTGCATATTATTTATACGGTCTGCTTGGCACTGAGGCACGCCGCAAATATAAGAAAATTTCTCGAATATGTATATGCTGATATGTATTTTAAAATTCTGTGCATTAATTGATATTAATTCTCAAAACTCATTAGGGTATGTCGTTACAAATACCTTTTTATTTACGTTTTGTTAGTTGCGCAATACAACACGCAGTAAAAGTTGCGGATTATGATCAATTCCTGAAATCGCCGGGTAAATACGTTGTTGACAATGTTCTCAATATGTATATATACATAATAAAATTAAAGAATTCGTTTTAACTCTAAAATCAAGCAATAATTATGGTAATTTTCACTAGATA